AAGGGGGCCAGCCGGTAGAGGAAGGTGTAGCTCACCAGCTTGGCGAAGAGCAGGCAGAGGGAGAACTCCACCACGCCCTGGCAGGAGAGGAGAAGACGTCAGCGGAGTCTCCTTCTCCCAACCTCCTCCAGAGGGTGTTTCCCCCCCAATTTTCTCCATCGATGGGGTGAGCCGCCCTGGCTCTGCTCTTTCCTCCATCCCCGTCACGGTGCGACTCACGGGGATGCGGAGAGCCCCGAGGAAGCTGATGGCTTCGGGCTCCTCGGCCGGCTCCTTGGGGCTGTCAGAGCGGGCCGTGCTGCTCTGGCCCGAGATGCTCAGCGGCCCCTCGTGGGAAGCGATGCCTTCGGGGTCCTTCTCGGTGGTGGGCGCCCCTCCAGCGTCCTCATCAGAGGCCACCTGAAAGCAAGCCGAAAGAAGATGTGGCTCTCGTCGCTGAAACACCAAATGTGGCCTGAGGATGCTCACACCGACTCAACTACGAGCATCCTCCATGACAACCGAACACCGCTCGGATTTCCAACGTTCCGACCTGACGCCCCGTGAACTCGAGCGACCACCCAGCCCGCCACGAGCCCGCTGGGAAGGGATTCGACTTACGTGGTGCAGAGGGGGACTGCAGCCGACGTCCTCGGGATCTGCAGGGAGAAAGGAGATCCCATGAGAGCCTGGACCAGCACCGCTCCGCCTGCTCTCCCTTCAGCATCTCACACCTCAGCGGAGAAATACGGGGCTGGAAAACCCTCAGGGCTGGGCTACCTGCTTCCCAGCATTGGTTCAAATCCTAAAAATCCCAATTTCCTAGCAAGATACGCTGAGAGGAGTGACCTGCGGTGGTCAGGTCTACATCCCTCCTGGCCACAAGCTGGAAATAAGTATTCGGCATTGGCAAAAGCGCTTCGGAGATGGGTAAGGAGAAAAATCCTCGGTTTACGGAGCTGCGCTCCGGCTCGTGGCACTCACATTCTACGAGGAATAAGAAGCAGATGACTCCCATGGCGGCGATGATGATGCCGGGCACGATGAAGGACAGGCCCCAGGCGGAAGAAACCCAGACGCCGGCGATGAGCGACCCCAAGATGTTGCCGACGGAGGTGTGCGAGTTCCAGATGCCCATGATCAAACCTCTCCTGAGGGGCACAGAACCGGGGTTGGTGTCACCACCCGGGAGGAGGACGGATGAGGATGAGGAGGGACGTGCCAAAGAAACACTCACTTTCCTTTCCCGAACCAGTTCCCGACGCACGCCACGACAGACGGCCAGCCGGTCGTCTGCACCAGCCCGTTGCAGATCTGGAGAAAGAGGGACAGCGTCACCCAGCGAGCAGCACCGTGTCTCGAAACCAGCCACCTCCAGCCCAAAGCTCTCAAGAAAACACCGGTTTGTTTCGTGGAGTTGGGGTTTTTTTGCCCCAGTGCTGCCCGCATTGTTCCCGTGGCTCAACTGGGA